GCCTTGTCCATCTGGAGGGAGACAGGGAGGCTGCCCCACTCGGGGAGCCCCCAGTGTGAGTGGGAAGACCGGGCAGTCTCATCACACTGGGCCTGCTGGGCCACTGGGTCTGCCTACTTTCTCAGGCTGAGCAGGAGAGTGGAGAGAGAGCAGCTTGCCCTGGGGTTGCTGCGATGGGCTCCCTGCCCACCCCAAGCCCCCTGTTCCAGGCCCATAGCACCTGACCAGATCAGATAGGGCACGTTTCTGCAGTGAGCTGCCTGCTGACTGGGACTGCGCTGACGCAGGCAGGAAAACATTAACCCAGTGGAATGGGTGCATACTCATGTGTGCAAGACTGTGTGTGTGTGTGTGTGTGTGTGTGTGTGTGTGTGTGTGTGTGAGAGAGAGAGAGAGAGAGAGAGAGAGAGAGAGAAACCCATAGAGAGGTTTTCACATGCAAGACCCAGCTATGCACATGCACACACACACCTGCCATTCACACATACACATGTTCACGCATTTATACAAAGACACAAATGCTTCTCACACATGCAGATTCCTTCAGTGTCATCTCCCAATTTCTGTCGATAAGATCCCCTCCAGGAAACCTTCCCCAATAGTTCCAGCTCATACTAGAAAGTAACAGGCCTGAGCTCTATGCCTGGTTTCTCACTCCAAATTAGGCAGCCTGACATGAGCTTTTGAGTGGAGCAGGCCTGAGTTTGAATTCTGATTCCTTGACTTACAGGGTGTTTGCCCTTGGGCAAGTGGCTGTGCTCCTGACCCGGTCTCCTCTAGTCTCTGTCTACTGTGTCCTGGTGGCCCAGGCATGGCTCTGAGAAGGAAGGATAAGAGTCTAGGCTGAGGGAAGGGAGCTCTGATCATTGCAGAGTGTCAGGGTTAAAGACCATCCAGGATCCTGCCTGTGCACATGCCCTTCCCCAGCCTAGCCCCCAGTTCTCTTAGTGGGGGGGGACCCTGACCTCCTAGGGTAGAGGACAGAACCTCTACCAGATGTTCTGGTTCTGGAGACCTTGGGCAAGTTGCTACCTTGCTCTGAATCTCAGTTTCCCTACCTGAAAAATGAGTTTGAAAAGGAGCACTTACCTGGGTGAGGCTTCAGGGTCTTCTTTCTTGAGCAGAATGAGAATCTTCATGGCTTCAGGTGATTTCAGAGACTAGGGCTCCTTGAGGGACCTGTACTGCGCTCCCACCCCCATACCTGCCTCTTCAGCCAGAGTAGCTCCTTTCTTGCTGATTGATACCACAGACTCCCAAGTTATACAAAGGATTCCAGGGCTCAAAAGAGTCTGAAAAACTCAAAGTCTAAAAGAATTTGATTGAAAGTTTATATGATAAGTAAGTTAATCAAACAGCATGTTGGTTGAAACAAATTAGTTGAAATGATTAGTTTTTTACACATCAACACTTTTGGGAAAGTTCAGATTAGTTTTAGCATCTGTGGGTATTTTTCTTTATTCTGATTTTTTAAGTTTCTATTTGCATGTTCACTTCCAATTGGGTTTCAGCCAATTGGTCTGCCCTGTGCTGTTCATAAAAGAGTTGGAAAAATTTAAAATTTGAGGCAGTCCTGTGCTCATACAGCTGCATATATGATGTGGATGTGGACCTATTGGCATGAAAAGATATTCTCAATAAATGTTTGAGTGAAAAAAGTACTGTACAAAACTTTATGTAAGTTTCATTCTACTTATTGTTGACTAAGTAGAGAGGGGATGTGAGTATGTGTAAATATGCAAAAAGGATTAGAGGGAAACCTATCAAAATATTAGTAGTAGTTGCCATGGAGCAGGAGTTGTCATGTGTCTTAAGGTTCCTTTGGTTTGTTTGTTTTTTAGGTAATAAAAGAATAAAAGGATCTGAGATTTTTTATTTGTTTTCTGTTCAAAAAATTTTCCACCCCAATGACAGCCAATTATATCTGCTCAACTTGCTTGGCTATGTGTTCATAAATATTTAAATTTTCAGGTAGGTTGAACATTAATGTCCCCATTTACCAGTTCACATTGTAAGATTTTTAGTGTAGTGAGTAAGAAAAGGGAGATTGATGAGCCCTGGCTTATCTCCAACCTTTCACTGGCAAAAATAGTGCGTTGCAGCCAAAATTAGAATAAGAAAAGAGAACCATTTTTGAAAGAGGGACTAAATGCCCACAGAAACATCAAAGTTTGCAAATATTGCCCTGTAGCACACTAATATTACCATTGCATTTTCAACCGATTTGTCATTTCAACCAAATTAGTTTTTGACTTAATGGTCTGTTGCTGCCTTCATAAACCTTTTCCTGGGCGCTGTCTGAATGCCAAATGTGGCTGGGTGGGAGGACCACATATCTGCCAAGCCCATTACACAGACTAGGTAACAGGCCCAAGGGCAGGGACTGAGCCAAAGTTGTGCAATGAATTTGATGCAGCTAGGACTCAAACCCAGGTCAGTGTACAAGGCAGGGTCTTCACTGCAGCTCAGAGCTAGGACACCTCGCCAAATTTGAATTTCAGAGAAACAGTGGGTAGTGTTTTTGTATAAGTATGAATACTGTGAATATAATTTTTCTGAAATTCAGATTTAACTGAGCATCTTGTATTTTATCTGGTGACCCTACTCAGAGCCTATCCTATGAAGACACGACCCCAGGTGTCCCCTCTCTGCCCTCCACCATCCCCATTGGCCCTGGAGATCCCCCCAGGCTCCGTCTACACCCAACTCTGACCCAAATGCCCGACCTTGTGGCCCCTTTAGCTGCCTTTCTTTTCTCTCCAGAGTTGAACTTTCTACCTCCTCAGCCATCACTTCTTCAGTGCTGTGCATGCTTCATCCCACCAGCTCAGCAGGGCTGGCACCTCCTTACACCCAACTCTGGGGCCATAGCCCCTCTGAGCTCCCAGTAGCCTGTTGGCAGCCCAGTGTCTGGGGTTTCCATCCCCTCCTCACCTGCTACTTCTCAGCCACCCTCCTGTCCCCAGAATCCTGCCCCTCTCCTCGGCCCCACTCCCTTGGGCTTCCTGGCAACCCCATTGACTCCCATGGTAAATGCCCAAGTACTAATAACTCCTGTTCTCTTTTTTTCTCCAGGTGGTCCCTGCCCAAGCCCAGGCCCAATTGTGCCTCTGCCTCCTGATGCTCCAGGGGCTCACGGACCCCAGATTGGCTACTTCGTGCTTTTCTTTGCTTAGAACCTTTCGAGGGCTCCTCAGGCCCTTGGGAAAAAGTCTGATCCTATGTCTTGGCAGACAAGGTCCTTCATGGTCTGCCCCTGCCCACTTCTCCAGTCCTCTGCAAGCCACTTACAGTTCCCAGAATACATTAGGTGTTCTCACAATCCCACTGGGCTTCAAATAGCTTCAAATCACCCCCCTTCACCCCCACCCCACCCTTCCCTTCTCACCTTGGTGGAGTCAGCTCCCATGTCATCTCTTCTGGAAGATTCTTGACTCCCTCCTGGTTGGCTTAGCTGTTGCCTGTATTCCCTCCACCTTATCACAATGTATCTTAAGTCACTTGCCATTTACCTATTTCTCCCAAGAGAAAGACAGGACTGTATGTCTTCTCTACCTCTGGTCCCCAGCACCCAGCCTTGTAAATGAGCCCAGGGCTTAACCCCTGAATCCAACATGGGTGCTAATTCCCTCCCTCACCAACCTGATCCCAGCCCCACCCAACTCTTTTCAAGCTCTTACTTCATCCTCACTCCACTTTTGACTTTAACTGCACCCTCACCCCAACAGCACACACAGGAAAGGAATAAAGGCAGGTATTCCCCATGTCCAGGGGACTTCTCTCCTGTCCTGAAGGAAAGACTTAGCATTTTGAGCCCACTTGAGTCTGCAGAGGTGAGTGAGGGGTGGAGCCTCAGCGTGGCGGGCTGCAGTGAAAGAGTTCATTCCTTAAGGACAGTTGCTGATTAAGAGGCCCTCCAACTGCAGCTGACCCCTGTCTCTCCCTGCAGGGCAAGCTGGGGTGGGGACCTGGGCGATGCACGGTCCAGACCTGGCCCGGTCTGTTAGCACCCTCTAGAGGACCGTTCTATTGCCAGAGCTGGCTTTGGGCAACCAAATCTTACACTGCCTCCTGGCCTCAGCAGCTCTCTGGACTTACTGCCCACCATCCACCACTCCATCTGGCAGGTCTCCTTGCAGTGTGCAGACCAGCAGCCATTCCGTTTTATCTCAGCACTGTGTTACCTACTCAAATCTCACACTGCTTCATCCTTGGAGGCCCAGCCATAACATAGCCAGGCAGCTGGCCCCCTGGCTTGCTCCTGACCCCACCTCTGTAACTGAGCTCCTGCAGCCCTGGATTGGAGCCCCACACTCTGGTTGACTTTGGTTCCTTCACAGAGGCTTCGATTGCTGTCCCCAAAGGAAGTGTATTCGAGGACAGGGTCTAGGATCTCCCCTCCGCTGTTCAGACGGGGGCTTCCAGGGGATAAGAGCCAGGTTCATTCTTCTCCACCCCAGATTAGGGACCCCCAGAGCACCGGGCTTGGCTTTCTACCTCCCATCTCAGACTGGGGTTTCCCTGCAAATAATATATTTTTTTAATATCTTAAGAAGGCTCCTATGTCTTCTTTCCCCTCAGACTGAAGAAGTCCAGGGTCTGAGTCTCCCCTTCATTCTTCAGCGTGGGGGCTCCCTAAGGACTGACCCAGGGTCTCCTCCCCAATTCTGGCCGCTGATCTCCAGAACTTTTCAGTCCCTCTTCTGTGCAGCTCTCCCCACAGCCAGGAGCTAAGGAGCCTCCCCCAGATCTGGGGCCTGGGAGGGTTTCCTCTGGCTCCAGGCTGGATACCAGGCTTGGAGGCCAGGCCCTTTCTCTGGGACCATGAGGCCCAGCACCCACCAGGAGTTCCACCTCTGACCTCACAAGAGCTGCCTCAGAATCTCCGCTGGCGGGAGAAGACATGCTATTTCAGGCAGTGCAACTGGACTTGGTTCAAGTGGCACGGGCCAAAACCCTGCCCCACTGACCTCTCCCCTGGAGGAACAGAGCAGAGCCGCCCCAAGGAAAGCTGAGAGGCGGGCTCTCAACTGGGGATACAGCGGAGCCCGAGCTGCGGAAGTATCCAGAGCCTGGGACATTCATGGGGGAACAAGACCAAGACCTGCTGTAACTGAGAAGCCCCCAAGGCGAATGCTGAGAAACCTAAGGCACTTCAGCAGAGTGAGTCTGGCTCCAGGCAGGGCTAGGACAGGGGGCTCCCTGGGGCCCAGGCCTGGAAGTGCTACCCTCTGGGGACCAGATGGGAGGAGGTGACCATGGGACTATCTAGGAAAAGAACCCCAGCTGGGAGGTGAAGGCCTGGATGTCTGTTCTGGTTTCGTCCTGAGTTGCTGTGTGGCACTCTCTGCACTTTGGTTTCCTCACCTGTAAAGTGACTGTTGGGAGGACCAGGGTTGAAGGATGTGTTGAGCTGGGCTGTCAGCAGAGTGTGGGGGTGGAATGGGGGAGTGGAGACCAGTGACACTGGACCAAAGCAGAAGGGATGCAGGTCAGAGAGATGGGTCCATTGCTGGCTTTGCTGGAGTGGTTTCTTCCCCTAGGTTCCCCTTTCCTGCCCCCAGAGGATTTCTGAAATCACAGCTAGGGAGGTGAACCTGTGCTGCAGCTAGAGGGAACTGGGCTAGAAGCAGAATGGGAAAACTCAAGGGTTTTGTTTATGCTGTCATTTGGGAGAAAAGTGGGAATACAAGGAGGAATTTTTCAGGAATGGTGAGAAATGTAGACTTTGTTTTGAGGTGGGGGTATGAATTAACTAAATTTTTAGGACCTCATCGTGTGTGTGTGTGTGTGTGTGTGCGTGTGTGTGTGTGTGTGTACGTGTGTGCACATGTGTGCAAGGAAGAAGCCCTGGAAAGTCACAGTTTAAGTCAGCAGCAAGGGGGCTTGAGGTTAGACTAAAGGCAATAACAGCCATATATGTGAGGATGGAGCCACCGAGGGGACTCTGTAGGCATGTCTACTGTCCAAAGCTGGTTTGCAGACTTGGGAAGGTCAGGAGGACCTCTGAAGGGCCTGGTCCAGAGGTCAGGGGTCCTGAAGCCAGTATAGAGGAGGTGGGACTCCAAGGCCTTTTCCCATTGGCTGAAGCACACCCACTTCCCCACCCCTTTCCAGCTTGGCTAGGTTGAGGGATTGGAACTGGCAGGAGCTGTCCCTGTGGCTTCCCTCTTGTGGGGGCTGAGGTCTGATAATAATATGGGGCCAAATTCTGTGCCCCCCAGCCCTAGTGACCTCTTTTTGGCTCCACAGCATCTAAAAATCTCAGACAGAATATGACTCAAGCGCACAGGAAGAGGCGGTAAGCACCCACCCATTTCCCTATGCCAGCCTCCCACCCCCCACCCAGAGCACCCACTACCCTCCCTGCCCCACTCTCAGCCTCTCCCTCATGGCAGCTGATGCCCCCAGACCCCCTTCTCCTCATCTCCCACTAGCCCGTGGGGCCCAGAAGAAGGCTCTCTCAGACTTGTGCCCATAGCCAAGCACAGGCTGGGTCCTGGGGTGAGGGGAGGCTCAGAAAAACCTGAATGAGGGTCAAGGGGTGGGTCAATGGGTTCCAACTGCTCCTATGTGGGTGGTGCTTAATTGCACTGAAATCACTACCTCTCACCCTATCAGGCTGAGGCTTCTTTGGGGTGAAATAAAAGCCGAAGTTTTTGCAATGGCCAAGGCCCTGCCTACATAGTCGCTGCTTCCTCTTTGACCTCCCTCCACCTCACCCCACTATCCCCACTCATCACAATGACCACCCTTCCTTTCCTTCAGACATGCTCAGAGTCCTTCAAGGCGTCCCTCTGCCTGAAACACTTTTCCTAGAGTTATCCACATGGCCCATTCCCTTACCTCCTTTGTGTCTTTGCTCAAATGGTACCTTCCCAGTGAGGCTTATCCTGATTGGCTTATTTAAAATCATACCCACCTCCTTTTCCTTGCTGTCTTTCCTCACAGGACATGCTAACTCTAACATACAAATGTACTTGCTTATTGCATCTCATTGCTGCCTGTCAGCTCCACATGAGTGGGGATACTTGTCTGTCTGTGCGCTCTTGGATAGAGAGAATGAATGGTTTCCCCTCTGTGCTGATGACATTGCTGTCTCCAGCCCAGGGCTCTCTCCTGTTTCCAAAGATCCACTGGTGTCCCACAGGCAACTCAGTCCCAGTTCAAAACAGCCTCCTCCACTCTCCCCAAGCCCACTCCTCTTCTTGTGCTCTCAGCTCAGTTGAAGATCCCCTTTTCCTCTGTTGCTCAAGCCAGAAGTCAAGACCTTGTCCTTGACACTTGTCTCCCCTGTGCCTGACATCTAGTCACCAATCTCCTAAAATATCTAGAATGTGTTCACTCTCACCTTTCTTCTACCATCTTGTTTCCTCACGGACACTGAGGGCACCCTCTACCCTTTCTTCAAGTCTCTTCAGGCCTCACCTCCTGCCCACGGGCTTCTTACCTCTGATGGTGTTGCTATTATCCATCTTGCCCACTAGATGGAGCAATCCAAGAGTGAGGACTGAAATTTTACTTTGTATCTGGTGCCTGACTTAGAAGTAGATGCTCAGTAAGTGTTTGTTGAATGAATAAATGTTGGTTAGCAGATTAAATGGTTGGCTTGAGATTATTTGGGTAATTTACTGTTGGTTGGTTGGTTGATTAGATAATTAAATGAACTAGTTAATAGGAGAGTCAGTTAGTTGGTTAAGTTGTTAAATTGATTAGTTAGCCAAAGAATTGGCTGGTGAGTTGTTAGCTATTTAGTTCCTTGGTTAGCATATATTACTTAGGTAATTATCTGGTTGTCTGTTTGTTTCTTTGTAGGCTAGTTTTCTTAGACATCCTTTTCTTATTCTACACCCTCCCTTTGAGCTATCTTATCTATGCCCATGGATCAAATGGCCACCTATGATTCAGTGACCTCAAAATGTAGGTCTCTAAACAAGACCACACAACCAGCTGCCTCCTTACGGGTCCTCCCCACCCAGGTGTCTGGTGGGAATCCTCAAACTCAACACACCCAGAAAGGGACTCTGGTCCTCCTACCTAAGCTGGCAGCTTCTCTCCTGTGCCTCATGTGTCACTCTGCTGCTCTAGCCAGGATCTGGGGTCATCACTGACTCTTCCTTTTCCATTCTCTAATCAAACACCAAGGTCTGTCAGTTTGACTGTCTTCTAGCCATCTCCACGGCACCTTCTTGACTCAGGCTGCCATCACCTCTCAGCCTGTCTGTGGCAGAAGCTTCCTGATGGTTCACCATGGCTCCACACCTGCTCCCTCATCCCAGCCTCCATAGAAGAGGCAGTTCTGCTCAAATCCTCCACCTAGCCCCCTGGCTATCTGGGTTGACCCCGTAACATGGGCCTTGAGGCCTCCTGCCACCTGGCCCTGTGCTCCTCTCTGCCCATCTCATGCTACTTTCACTCCTCTCTCTGGCCGGCTCATCCTTGCAGAGTTCTCTGCCCATCATGCGCTCTCGTAGCTGCAAGCCTCTGCCCATGCCATTCCAATGCCCAGGACTCCCCCCACCTCCCCGGATGCCCCTTTACCTGGCCAGTCTTCTATTCTTGACCTAATTTTCTCTCTCCCTGGGAGAGAGCCTCCTACCCTCTCCTCTAGGTCCTTTGTTTCCTCCCTACAATCCCCTGCTGCTCACTCTTCTCCTGTGTTATCACTCCTCATACTTTATAGTAATTGCTTAATTAGTGGTTTTTCTTCCTAAGAGCAGGGATCATGCCAATGTTCTTTACTACAGTGCTTGACATAGCAGGCATAGTAGGCATTCAATAAAATCTTTGGTTTGGTGGCTGGTTGGGGGTTATTTGTTGTTTACCGTGTCTTACCTGCTGTGTGGGGAGGAGAAAGGGGCCCCGCTTCCAGACTCTCTTGGTGTCCTTGACTTCTTGCCTCTCTGGCACCTTCCCAGGACCGTTCTTGGGTCTCTGCCTGCCTCAGGCTGCTCACAGCCTCTTCTGTGGGGCTGAGGAAGTCGGTCACGGGGGCGAGGGGACCCCTACGTGATGCTGCATGGGAGCTGGAGATGGATGGGAGCCAGTGGATCGTCCAGGCAATTCTATATCCCCTCCACATGCACAGCCCTGGGTTTGTTTCCCTTGGGTGAGGACAGAGCAAGGACTGGGGTGGGTGAGATATGAACATGGGGTCTCAGCCAGAAAAGGAAAAGGTGTTTTATCTATGCCTGGTTTACATTTCTCCTTCTGCTTACTCTTTGCTGCTGTGAGGCTGGGGAAATTCAGGGTGGGGTGGGGGGTGATGTTGCTATCCTGAGCAGGGTAAGTGAGTGTCTGGCCTCACCTCTAAGATCACACTTAGAGTTATCTGTACCCCTCCTTCTCTTTAGCTTCCAAACCCCATCTCCTTCTCCAACAGATGTTGGAGCCTGTAACTCACCTTTTCATCTGTTTATCCAATCATGCGTCTATTAAATAATTTATCAGGCATCTACTATGTGCCAGGCACTGTAGATCTAGTGAAAAATAAGGCAGATAAATTCCCCAGTTTTCATTCATTCAACAATATATATTGTACACCTACTATGTGCCTGGCACTGCGCTAGACACTGAGAATACATCGAGGAGTAAGATTCAGTCCCTTTTATCCTCTCTCCCTCCCTCTCATTCATTCATTCATTCATTCATTCACTCACTCACTCACTTACAAATGTTTGTTTGTGTTGACCTGGTTGCAGAGCCTGCTGCACTTTACAGGCCCTTCATCTGTGGCAGAACCTGGTGCATATTTCAGGCCTGAGCACTGTTTAGTGCGGGAGCAGACTTTGCCCCACCCTGTGCTGTTTGCAGAGTGCCTTGTGGTTGCCAGATCCTACCTAATGTCTTGACCGTGTCCCCAGAGATCTGGTCCCTGCAGGTAGGCAGGCAGACAGACAGACAACTGACCTCCACTTTCTTGCCTGCTCTCTCCCACCTGCTTCTTTCCCAAGGCTCATTGGCACCACAGATGGCATTCATCAGATCCCTAACTGCCTCCTCTGCAAAGTAGCCTCGTTGGTGTCCCCTTCCCCCTGGCCCAGTCCCCACCAGAAAGAAGAAGGGGCATGACCTGGCCATGTACCCCCAGTCCCTCTCCATATGCCTCTGGCTCTCAGGCATCCCAGCAGCCCTGGGCAAGAGGAGGCGTGTGCGGAGAGGCCGCTGGGTTACGCATTAACCCAGCCAGGAGCTGAAGGGCCGATGGGCAGCAAGCGCACTTGAGTCTCACGTCTGCCCATGGGCTCAGGCTGCTGCTTCAGGTCCACCTGCAATTCCAGGATGGCCTCATCGCCTGCGATAATAAGGGCGCAGGCAATACTGCAGAAGGAAATGGTGCGAGAGTTCCTGGCCGAGTTCATGAGCACGTATGTCATGATGGTGAGTGGGTGGGTGGCACAGGGTGGGTGGGCTCTGAGGAAGGGGCAGGAGCCTCAGGACTTCAGGAGGGGGTGCTCAGTAAGGGCAATCCATGACCCCCTTCCCACTGCTTAACCCCGGGGTCGCATTGTCTATTCCCCGGCCTTGGAGCTGGGAGCCTGAAGGTGAAGCATAGGAAAATAAGGTGAGAGCTCTGTCTTCCTCACCACATCTTTTTTTGGAGATAAAGGGCTCAGAATATGTGGGGGCAGAACAAAATCATGGGCTGGGGGGTGTCAGAAGGCATGGCTGGAAGTCGGGAGAAGGGAAAACAAGAGGAGAGAGATTGGAGAGAAAGCTGAGTGTCAGGCTTTGAGAATTAATCCTGAGGGTAATACGGGGACACTGCAGGCTTTCCAGCAGGGGAACGCTGTGGTCAGATTTGGAGTTTAGAAGGAAATCCTGGGTGCAGTGTGGAGCTTCAGCAGAACGGGCAAGGCTGGAGGGAGCAGAGCCAATTAAGAGACCGTTGTAATGACCTAGGATAGAGAGAGGATGGCGACTGGTCCAGGGTTGGAGAAGAAAGCACATGTTTGAGACAGTTGTAGAAGATGGAATCAAGGAGGCTTTGCAAGCCACAAATGTGGGATAGGTGCCAAGGGAGCCATTCTGAGCTCGGGGCCCCGCACAGGGCAAGACGTGAGGTCAGTTTGGACGTAATCCGGTGAGGTCCTGGGGGAGAAACCTGGGGGGCGGTTGGATATAGAAGTCTGGAGCTCAACAGAGTGGCTTGGGCTGGAAGTAGAGTTAGAGTTCATCAGAATAGGGATGGTGGTTATAAAAACTGTCCAGTGAGGGTGTATAGGAAAAGAAAATAAGCTGAGGACAGAGCCTTGGAAAATGAAGAGGGGAACACCGCGAGTCCTGAGAAGTACTGGCTTGACAGGTGGGAGGAGAAGATGGAGGGAGATCAGGTTACAGAAATGTGTGTGTGTGTGTGTGTGGGGGGTCCACAGGAGGGAGTGGTCAGCAGTGCACGAGGCTGCAGACAGGCCAAAAAAGATGACACTGACAAGGATCTGTAGAGATTGGCGACATGGAGGTCACTGGGGACCTCGGCCAAGGCTCTTTCAGTGGATGATGGGACAGGTGCCAGACCGCAAGCAGGAGGTGAGGTTTCTCGGAAGCTCCCTCTCTCTCCACCTGCTTCGGCCCTGCCACTTCCCCCAGCCAGCCTCTGCCTTTAAGCTGTAGCCATGCTCGTTTGCACCTTATGGAGGGTACAGGTCCATGAAAAGAAGGGGCAGCCTCTGGGAAGGGAAGCAAAGATGGCCAGGAACACGCCAGAAGAAGTGGGGGAAAGAGAGGCAGTGTGTGTAAGAGTGAGTGTCTGTGCAGTGAGTCACTGGATAGGAGATTATGGGGTTCACAGAGCCCAGGGGACTCTGGACACCTGGCTTCTTATTCTGATCCTGCCACTGAGTCACTATCTGGACTTGGGCAGATCTCTCGGTGGCTCAGAGCCTGTCTTCTCAGTCATGAAGTGTGCTGAACGAGGCCGTAATGGGAGCTAGATTTGAATTCCGGCTCTGCTATTTTCCAGCTGTGTGATCTTCCACAAGTATCTTAACTGTTCAGAACTTGAGCTTTCTTGTTGGTAAACATGACACCAACATCGAGCTGGCAGACTTATGTGAAGAAGGCCAAGAGCCCAAAACCCAGTAAACACGTAGGACACCTGTGTTGGTCCCTGGTCATTATGACAAGAGCTCTCAGTTGCTCTCCCCTCCCTGCCTCCCACCCTTTCCCCCTCCCCTATTCCCCGCCCTGCTGCTTGGCTCCTGAGCTATGAAGACAGCACTGGGTTTTGTCCCACCTAATCCAGGGCAAAGTAATTCATTTATGACAAAACATTCCAGCCCGTGACGGCTGTTAAACCTTGGAACCGTGGAGGCAGAAGGGTGCCTCCTTGGAGAGCTCTTAGGGAAAACAGGTACCGCCCACATACACTGATGCCCGCCCATGTCCGTGTTTCTCTTCCTTTCGT